TCGAATTACTTTTGAAATAATTTTGGTAACTTCTGAATTGTTTTTTGTCTCTTCAGAAGCATTGTTAATTTCTTCCGAATCGTTTGACAAAACCTCTGTAGTACTTTTTTTAGAAGTTGTGTCATTTTCAACTAACGAGCATTTGGAACACCCTAAGAAAATCGAATTAGTTAGACATATAAAATTATTAAAATATAACCCAATACATCTTGAGTAAAATAAATAATGTCGCGTGAGTCATAAGTCAGAATGCTGTGGATATCAATACTATTAATTAGGATTAGAATATAAAATTTTGTATTTCAATACAAAAACTTTTTTACCATTTTCAATCTTTCCCATTATATTAGTTTCCTCATTTTTCCGTGATTCAGAGGCTATATCGGTATTTGCATCATTTTTATAGGAACTTATCATCAAGTTTTCCAAATCTTTTTTAATGTTATCAGTAGAATTTTGAACTATTTCTAAAGCTATTTTGATATCATTCGAGGTATTTTTAATTTCTTTTAAACCATTTTGGATCTCTATATTTATATTTTTTATTTCATCTGTTACATTTTTCATTACTTCCAAAGTCTTTAATAGAGCCTCCAGTGTATTTTTTTTTGTAGAAGTGTTTTTTTCTACTAATGAACACTTTGAAGACCCTAAAAAAAATGAATAGGTTAACGACTTATAAAAATTATTACAATATAATCCAATACATCTCGACTGAAAACATAATGTATTTGTTATATTGTTATCTAATATAAATTTCACATGCCAAATAATGTAACTCACCACTAGTAAAATTAACAACTGTGATTGTTAAAATTATTAAAAAAAAAGATTCCTGAATCATAATTTTACTTAAAATAATACGCTTTTTTAAAAACAAATTTTTCAATTAGTCAACTTACCTTTTAGTAATGCTAAGAAAATCTTATAAATATTATAAAAAATTTGGCTTAGTTTAGTTCTTACAATTGTTATCAATACAAGTTATCAGTTAGAAGATTTGTATTTAGTATCTATGAGTTATTACCATCCTGTATTAAATTTAGAAAGCCCCATTAAAACTAATTGTCAAATAAACACTTTAATTTTATAAAGCCTTTTATGACACTATTGTTAGATCGCTCAATTTAATACACTGGAGTAATGTATTTTCATTGGGCAATTTTATTCAGTTCTTAATACTGTTTTACACAATAACTTTTCGCTATATTATGTTAGTAAACATAATTTTTCTATTTAGTTTAACAAGGNAAAATGAATAGGTTAACGACTTATAAAAATTATTACAATATAATCCAATACATCACGACTGAAAACATAATGTATTTGTTTTATTGTTATCTAATATATTTCACATGCCAAATAATGTATCATTGTTTTTAAATTTGAGAGCTCGTTGTAAAAAAATGTCAAAAAACTGTAATAATTAACATTTTGAGAAAACGCAGAATAGTTGAAAAACTAATCCACGGTAATTTCAGAGATTTATTAATCGTAAAAATGATAATAAATTGCTCAGTATAATAGCCAGGATAATAATACAGACTCTATAGCCAATTTATTTTAAAAATAATTTTTCTTTGTAATAAAGGAACAGCATTTAATTCGACATAACAAATATTATTTTATTCAACATTAGTCAACAATTATGTTACAAATAGCCATTATATGTAGTGCTGTTTATTAGGAATAATAAATGAAATATAAGTTGATTTTGCTTTTGGAATAATCCACCAATTTCTTAAAATTAAACATTATCTACGGATTTGCATCGAAAAGTTTCTTATGATTTGTGATTTTAATCACTGTCAGATATAATCTATACTTGTCTCAATTATGCCACGTCCACACAGTGTCGCGATATTTATGGGAGAGTATGTCTCGTAGTGCCTAGTGTTTAACATTTAGCACCATAATATTTTTTTTTGCTCAACATTAGTCAAAAATTATATTATTAGATTTTGATTTTTAAATGTAATCTGATTGTTATAATTGTGTATATACTATAGTTTATCTTTACTCTTTTGGCCCTACAGACATTTTTTATTAGTAAAAAAAATTTTTAATTAAAAAAAAAATGCTAAATGTCTCCGGGAATCGAACCCGATCTCTAGAGCGTGACACATACGCGTTACCAACCGTATGACCTACAGTGTAGGTCCTACACATTAGTTAAATCGGTAATCCCATCATCATGACCTCCCCTTGTAGATAAATTTCAAATATACTTTACCTGGTGTATCATTCTTTTTCTTAAAAAATCGCATACATTTACGTAAACTCATGTACAATGTGTTCTTCGATTTCATTATCTTCATAAAATATCACTTGTTCATTGATTTATACCACTTTAGAAAAATTAATATTGATATCTATGTATTATAAACAAATGTGGAGAAAAGTAACCATAGTAATTAATTATTATTTATAAATTACTGTCTAAGAAGGCAGAAATTTATAATAATAAACCTCAACACTAGAACCCTTCAGTTTCAGTTAATTCAGGAATATTTTAGCTACGAACGAAGCTGAGAAGGTATTAAATTGACTAACGCTCTTTTCTTGTTTTTTATTTTGATTAATTTTTTTTTTTGTTTCTTGTAACATTACAACTAGTACAAGATATTACGCTCAAAGTGAAAAAAATCGCCTTTAAAAATTAAAAGTTGCTTAACTAGCTTTCTCCATATAGGCAATAAAAATCTATTATAGTCTTATTGCGACCAAATGTCGGTTGGGTTGGGTTTGTAGTCGGTCTTAGAATTTCGCTCGGATAAAAATGGTCGATGGTAAATGGTCGGGTCAAACTTCTTATAAAATTAACCATTTCATCATTATTTGATTGTTGAATTTTAGGGCCCGACCATTTACCATCGGCGTATTGTATAATGCGGTCTATTTGACGGCTTAATAGTAAACGTGTTTTTAATTTTCTTGTTATACCATTATTAATAGTACACTCCATTTGTTTAAGTATCTGAATGTTTTCTTTATTTAATAAAACACGGCATCCTTCGGTCGTCGCGGATTCTAATACTAAATGTACTGAATCACGATATAATGTTTTAGATAATTTGAAACATTCATTTCGGCATAAAATATTGTTTTCGTTTCTAACCGGAGATGATTGTAAAAATATATTTATTTCATTCATCATGCCGTAAATAGTATTCAAAAATTCTGTTGACATGCTAATATATCGTGAAGGAGTAATAATATATACCGTAATATTGAAGTCCTCCTTTGGATTCAGTCCTAGTTGTAAAAATTTTCTATCGCCGAACGAAATTGTATAACTGCTTGAATCGATCATTTCAGCTGGCGGTGTCGGTGCAACATAAACATAACGTTGTTTTCTTACAGGTTCGGCATCCATATTGTTCATAGAGTAGAGTCTTCTTTTTAGAGCTGATGGTTCTTGATGACACTGTGACTTTATCAACGATTTCATGCTCATTTATGCGGAAAAATCACATATTTTCATAGGGGGGTCAGCAAATCACAGATCACATATCCCCGTAAACTAACCCATTCCTTCACCACTTAA